TGTGCAGGCCGGGATTCCTCTGTTTCATCCTCCGAATCGGAATCCCAGGCCATCACACTTCCCATATATTAACAGCCAGTCAATAGCTATTGCAGACTAATGCTTCTGGGGTGGGTTAAATATATATATATTTCTGTGAAAAGTACTATGTGAGAGATGATAGTATGATATGGAACCTTAGGGTGGAATTCAATGTCGCACACTTCCAGTCATTCTATTTGTGCATTGCAGCTTGCCAGATAGCATGACCCTCTTGGGGCATGACCTGGGCAAGCCATGGTCATGCATATTTAGAATCTCCCTAAGTCTATAAAATATTAAACCTGGTAATGGAATGCCATCTATTTTTCCACTTATGTTGAGTATAATGCACTACAACTTACCCATGTTCTGATGTCATTACCTTGTGTTTCTCTGTACCCCACCTTTCTTTTCCACATCTGGCTGTTGCTGGTAGACACTTGGTAACAATCAGTATAGGGAATTGAGACACAGGATGGACTGTGTCTCATGTTATGCAGAGAGTTGGAGGGAAGCTCTCAACTGGCCACCATTTCTTACAATGTGCAGTTCCAACTTAAGAAGAATGAACTCTGGTCTTGTTCAGATAGCAGCACACTGTTGATGTATGATGTATACAGTTATTGTATTTGGTTTTTACTGGAAGTGCAAAACCTTCAGTTGATCAGTAGCTGTGGTCTAAAAAAAGTCAGGTATGTAACAGGATTCTTCTGTTTTAACAGCAGTTTGTACCCCTGGTCTTGTCATTTCCAACAGAACATGGGTATTTATGGCTTCTTGAGTGCCAATTTAAAAAGTATTCAAGTGAGTTGTGAACAGGATTTTTTGTTTATTCTCTCATTGTGGGAACATATTTTTCATCCCTCGTGATTGTAGAGAAATAGCGATGACAAGTTTCTTTGGAAAAACATAGACAATACAGGAGAATTAAGTCGAAATTGTGGTGGTTGCAGAAATAACCTTTTCCATGGGTCAACTCAGGGCAGTAAGTTACTGTACCCCTGTTGTTACAGTTGTTTTCCTTCCTCCTACATTTTTCTGAGTACCAGTCATTTTGTCTATACAAATTATAGAAACACTCCATCTCTGACACAAAACAAAATTAAACAACTCTATAAACATAAACTGTGTGAACAACACACATAAAAATAAACTGCAGCCATTCTGCCCCCAGAGTATATTTTTAAAAATGTGAGTCCCATTGAACAAAATGTGACTTATTTTAAGACTACATATTCAGCAGATCAGGCTGTAAGTAACTAAAATCAAGGAGTGCTAGTTACTGGGCAAAATAATGTTTCTCTAAGAGCTGGAAAATAAATGTACATGCTGTTAAGTTAATAGTTGTACAATTTGAAACACACTGCAGAACTCAGATTGTTTGAGGCTATAGAATAGGAATGCAAGATAACCTATATGGACTCAGCGGATTATCCTGTTGAGAAACTAGTCCCTAAGTAGTAGGAAGTGCACAAAAATAAATATGGTGCATGATTATAATTTATTGTGCAGATTCTTCCTCATTGATATCTTTCTTTTAGGAAAACAGTTTTTTAACTCAAAATAGTCTTAATCCAGTTTTCAGGGGAAATGTGTAGGCTTAAAAACTGTTAGAGCAGGGAGAGAAGAGGAAGTGGCAGTTTTGTTGCTTGAGTAGATGTTCATCACACAACTTTAGGTATCGCCCAATAGTTTTACATAATATAGCAATTTTTTTTAAAAAAACCACAAGATTAAATTGGGAAAAATAATTTTAGACCCTAGCAACTGAAATAAACAGCCACAGTGTTCTATTATGATTTATGGTCGCTTTAGGCCCCTTTTGACAAATCTTTAGTTGTGGTTATGCACACTGAATTGTTGCATGGAAAACTTCAGTTTAACTTCTAACATGATTGCACCTTGACCATACTTTAGATGGGTGAAAATGAGCTATATAGTTTTACAACTATATAATCACATAAAATACCTGCATGGGCTACTTGTATGCTACTGCATCACCTTCAGGATTCTTAAAGCCCTGAACAGCTTCAGTCAGGAATACTGTAAGGACAGCATGAGCTCTTATATTCCAGCTCAGTTACTGAGATCACGTGGAGAAGCATTGCATGCCATGTTCAGAAGCCTTGTGAGCAGTTGCATGCTGTGGAATACTCTTCCAGCAGTGATTTGGTAGTGTCCTTGCTGCTAATTTCCAGGTGTCTCTTGAAGGACTTTATATGTCTACAGGCCTCGTCACTTGTTTAAACTTTCCAAAGTGAGCCTGTCATTTTTTTGATTATTTTACATGGTATTTTATGTTTTTGTGTATTTTCTTGTACACCACCTAATTATTTTATATGAGAGAATAGTAGATCAGTATTTTAATAAACAAATAGTGTGTAAGCGTTAATTCCAACATTTCTTCACAAATTTTGTATCTGGAAAAGCAACAAGCAGATAGTTAAGTTCCCTTCGCACACTGGTAATTAGTATTTATAAAATGGAATATATTGAAAACATAACCAGGGTTTATATTTGTAGTGTTTCAGTATAACAGAAGAAAAATATTTAACAATTTTTGTCTCTGGTTTTTTATTCTGCTTCTTTTCTCTGTCTTTCCTGTTTTCTTCTTCTGTCTTGTGTCTCCTATCTACAAAACTTGCCCTAGGCCAGTGTTACGTGGTGGGTCTGCTGCTGCCACTTCCTCTAATCCTCATCATGACGCCAGGTAAATCTGCACTTAGTTAGCCATTCTAGTCTATATTCAGCTTTCACAAAACCTGAGACTAGCTTGCTCCTGAACTTTACTTGAAAGTAAACCCCTCTGAGTTCAGCAGAGCTTGCTTCCTGCTATTAATTGATATATGATCATTATTATCAAACAGGCTGTGATTATGTGTACTAATCTAACTGCTGGTTTCTATATTAATTTTAAAACCCTTTCACTGACATTCTTTTGCATTGTACTATGCCTGCTGATTCTATGGATGAATCTTATAATAAAAGTATTTGATGCATTTCCCATTGATTTTAGCATTCAGTATAAGACCCGAGCTCAGGTTGGAAATCTGTTTCAAAATAACTAAAAATCTGGTGAACACTCCAACAAATTTTGCAGTACATAACACACCACAGAATTAAAAAGAGAGAAAGGGTGAGATTCACCTGTCATCTGTCAACATAAGGATGGAGCAAGCTTGTTTTCTCTTGCTCCGGAGACTAGGAGCCAAACCAATGGCTTCAAGTTACAAGAAAGGAGATTCCAGCTAAATATCGAAGAAATTTCTAACAGTAAGAGCTGTTCAACAGTGGAACAGACTCCCATGAGAGGTGGCGGACTCTGCTTTATTGGAGATTTTAAAGCAGAAGTTGGATGGATCCAGTTGAGGTTCTTGCATTGTAGGGGGTTGGACTAGATGGCCCTTGGGATACCTTCCAGCTCTGCAATTCTATGATTCTATAAGCCCTGAACAAAGACTTCTGCTTGAGCAATGGGTCTCCCCCACCTTAATTGGCTCTGAGTGGATCAGGAGAACCCATGGAACAACAAATGGGGAGGAAGGGGAGGAATTCATTCTGACTAGCAAGCTGAAATGCTTGCACAGACAGAATGATTGGAAGAGCATCATGTTGAATTCCACCCCAAGTAGTTTTTCAAATAGAAATTTAAAGTTAAATCAAAAAGTACTTATTAAATAATGCCAATGGTTGTGCAGAATGCTTTCCTTCTCCCTCCTTTCCTATGTTCCTTTTACTAAGTCTACTTGGATCTCATCGTATACAACTAAAATATTATTCTCTTTATGCATTT